GAGCGCAAAGGCGGAAAAAGGCAGAACAAGGAAAGGAAAAGAAGGAAGGAAGGAAGGAAAGCCCCACCTGTTCATCAACTCTTATGTACAAGGCCAGCCACGTGGATGACAGGTTAATTTTAACTTTAAATTTTAATTTTTAGTTTTTTATTTTTAATTCGTATTTTTATTTTTTTTGGTGCGGGGGCGGGGCGCAATCTCGGAACGCCAACGTGGAGCTGGAATTGGAACGATCGTAGCATTAAAAAATAAAATATCGACAGACGGATAAAGTGATAAACTCGTAGAATAAATAAATCGTCTGATTCAAAAAAAAAGAAAAGAAAAGAATGGATCGTCCAATTCATTGAGTAAAAGGCGTCCAATTAAAAAAAAAAAGAACAGGAAGGGAAAAAAAATGAACAGGAAAAGTCCTCCCGTTGTCGTCTTTTTTTTTCCCCCCCTTTTCTTTTTCCCTTTCTCTCCTCCCGTTCATTCTTGGCAAGCGTTGGACAAAAAAAAAAAAAAAAAAAACGTCAAGGTACGGGGTTGAAGGGGGGAGAGGGGGGTTGGGGGGGGGGGGTGGGGGGAAGGAGAAAGGTTTGGCAGGAAAAAAAAAAAAAAAAAAAAAAGGGGGAAAAGGAAAAAGGAAAAAAAAAAAAATTTTGCCTTTGTTAAAAAAAAAAAAAAAAAGGGGCCTGCGTGCGAAGCATTGATTTCGGATGTGGAAAACCTAGGCTCGTAAAAAAAAAAGAAAACGAAAAAAAAAGAAAAACGAAAAAAAGAAGAAAAACGAAAAAAAGAAAAAAGAAAAAGGATTTCTCGACTACTGCCTGGTAGTATAGGTATCCCAACCAGGCATATCCTTGTTGACACGGGACATACTCAAACCAGAATTTTTCTGGATGCACCTGACCGCGATTGCGGCAACAAGGTGCAACTCCAAAAGCTTCCAGTGCCAGCACGTCATTTTTTTTCAATTTTTTTTTTTTTTTTACAGAGCCGACTCACTTCATTTAGCACGTCCTTTGATTGGGAGTTAGGTTCGGTACTAGTTAACACACACACACACAAAAAAAAAAAGAAAAAGAAAAAAGAAAAAAAAGAAAAAAGAAAAAAAGGTTCGGCATTAGTTAGCATTGGTATTAGCCTTAGGGCATACTCCCACTAGCATTTTTTTTCCGACTAAGCTTTGGACGTAATTGCGGCAATATTCAAGCCAGGCCGTAATTGGGGCCAGATACATTCAGGAGAGTGCTTGCTCGCGTGAGTAGGCGCTTACTATCATTTGTTGCGCCTACCCTTTTTTTCATTTTTTTCCCCTTTTCCGCTTTTCTCTTTTTTTGGTTTTGTTTTTGTTAACCGCCCCCCCTTCCCCTCCCCTCCTTTTCTGCACCACCTCCTCCTCCTAAATCATTCCCCCCAAAAAGGACAAAAAACACGTCACCCTTCGTCTTCTTCCTTCTCCGACACCTCCTCCTTCTTTTTCTTTTTTTTTCCTTTTTTCTTTTTTTTTCCATTTTTTTTTTCTCTTTTTTTTTTTTCCCTTTTTTTTTTTTTTTTCCCTTTTTTTTTTTTTTCCCTTTTTTTTTTCCTTTCCTTTTTCTTTTTTTTCCCCTTTTTTTAAATTTTTTTTTTTTTCTTTTTTGGGAATTTTTTTTTCCCCCCCCCCCCTTT